ACTCTATACAACCTTTAGCTTGACATCCTCCAATAAGCATATTCTGCTAAATAAACATGAAGCACTCTCTTCCCGTCTCAGATATTTGAACCTCGATCCGCCTGCTTAATTTGAGTTCTTTCCTCAAATAAATTTAAAAAGTGAGTACAAACACCAGTAAAAACTCCAAAATTTATAGAAAAAATTAATTATCTAACCAAACCTGAAAGAAAGAACATTCTAGCATTTTCAACTGCCAATTCTCTCTCGGCAGAACTTCATGCTGTTGCACTGGAGACTATCAACCTGAACATCAAATTCATCAAGAGTCCGCGAAGGCAACATTCGATCTCCTGTGCTCAAAATCACTTCTAATTGCATTGGTGAATTTCCTCTACAACTCTTAACTCAGAGTCTGGAGCACAAATAAATACTATATTTATTAGTATTACCCATAAAATTAGGTTAAAGCGTACCCACTACTCTCTTTGTTGCATGGACATGTCAGAGATGGAAGACACATGATGACATCAATACGTAGACATGCAGCAAATTTAAAAAAAAGGAAGATTATACATAAATAGCAATTAATTAGAGGTGTCATGACTGGTACATTGTATACAGCATAGGTTTCAAAATAGATATGTTTTGAACTTAGCTGAACATTACTTTTCTCTATTAAGATTTTAATTTTTAGGGAAAATCTTCTTTTAACCCAAAGTTTTACTCTAACTTATTTTTAAACCCACCTACTTTCATTATGATCCATACATCCAAAGTACAACACCCACTTATTTATAAACCCAAAGTATCAAATACACCATATTTATATACTGTATACAAAAAATAAAAGATAAATCCCGAAATTACCCTTGTTCTTCTTCTTCTTCCTCCCTAATAACTACCCGGGCTCAACTCTCTCTTTCTAATCATCTCCATCTTTCTAGTTCTCCTCCCACTAAAAAATCCCTAAAAATTCAAGGGTTTTGATCTCTTGCAATGGCGTCTAATGTCAACTTGCAGGTTTCTCTTCGCTAGATCCTTCGTTGAAGGGGGCGGTGGCAGCGGCCCTAGGACCACCCAGTCGACTCAAAGCCGACCAATAGAAAACGGTATGTTAACATTTTGAAATTTTGGGTTTTTTGGCAATATCTTATTAAAAATGTCTTGTTCTTATAAATTGATGGATTCTTATCAAGCTTATGCTTCAGAAAAGAGTATGTGCATAACAATTTTACTCATATATATATCTATGTTTTGGTGACTAGGTTGATGCATAGAAGGTGTTTGATGGAATGACAAAAGGGATATAGTTATTTGGATAACAACGATTAGCGGTTATGCCATATTGTTGTTGGTTGAGGAGGCAATAAAGGTGGTTGATGAAATGTCCAATAGAAGTTTGGTTTTGTGGACCGCCATGATCTTAGCCCATCGGTACGCCATCCTACGCCCTCCGGTTGCTCCTCAACATTTTCTATTGTCGCCAACACCTAACGCAATGCACAGCTACCCCTCAATCAGAAACGATTCGTCAATGCACGTACACTAACTTTCCAATCAAATACATGAGAGAATCCTCCACTCTTGGCATTCAATCAGATCTTAGCATTGTTGTCACATTGCAACCCAAACGGGAAATCAACTACAGCCTGCAATATGATGTACCAAGTAGTATCTAATGTATCGTGTTGTATGGAATTTTCTATATTATGTATATATAGATGATTTGTGTGTATATTCTATCAAATGCACTATCCAATGTATCATGTTGTATCAAATTTTCTATTAGAAATTTATCAGTGTATCTAGTAGAAATGTATACAACATTTCGATAGTGGTGATTTTGGATTATTTCCATTCAATCTTCATGGATTATTTTCATTCAATGTTATGTGCTTGAGTTTAGTGGTTGATAGATATGAATATCTATAATGAATTGATGCACTGATTGAATTGAAGAAGTTTTGATGGTAGGTTGTGGTAACTACAGCATATTGGGCCATATTATGTTTCGTGTGTCCAATTATCCACCTCGACGAGGGGTCCTCGCTTAATTTTCCAGCTTTTGATAAAGTATAACACTTTATGGGAAAGTATAGTAGCTTATTGATGAAGTGTAGCACCTTATGGTAAAGTATAGCACCTTATGGTAATAGTATAGCACCTTATCGATAAAGTATAGCACCTTATGTTCTCTAAAAATTCAGTAACTTATTGCGTTGCGATAAACCAAATAAGTTTTGTTAGGGCCATGCAAACATTCGATGACCTACGTTACGTGACGCGTGACCAATTATCCATCTTGACGAGGGGTCCTCGCTTAATTTTGAAGCTTTTGGCAAAGTATAACACTTTTTGGGAAAGTATAGCACCTTATAGCCAAAGTATAGCATTATATGGTAAAGTATAGCACTTTATTGGCAAAGTATAGCACCTTTTTGGTAAAGTATAGTACCTTATACTCTCTGGAAATTCTGCACCTTAAGTTGTCTAAAACCAAATCAGTTTTTTCACCGCAACGCAAACACTCGATGACCTACGTTACGTGTTTATTGACCAATCATCCACCATGATGGGGGGTCCTCGGTCAATTTTGAAGCTTTTGGCAAAGTATAGCACTTTATGGGAAAGTATAGCACCTTATGGCCAAAGTATAGCACTATATTGTAAAGTATAACACTTTATTGATAAAGTATAGCACCTTATTGGCAAAGGATAGCACTTTATACTCTCTGAAAATTCTGCACCTTAGGTTGTCTAAAACCAAATCAGTTTTTTTCACCGCAACGTAAATACTCGATGACCTACGTTACGTGTTTATTGACCAATCATCCATCACGGCGGGGGTCCTCGCATAATTTTGAAGCTTTTGGCAAACTATAGTACTTTATGGGAAAATATAGCACCTTATGGCCAAAGTATAGCACTATATGGCAAAATATAGCACTTTATTAGCAAAGTATAGCACCTTATTGGCAAAGTATAGCACCTTATGCTCTCTGAAAATTCTGCATCTTAAGTTGTTTAAAACCAAATCAAGTGCTCTCTGAAAATTCTGCACTTTGCCACTAAAGTATTATACTTTACCATATAGTGCTATACTTTGGCTATAAGGTGCTATACTTTCCCAAAAAGTGTTATACTTTGCCAAAAGCTTCAAAATTGAGCGAGGACCCCTCGTCAAGGTGGATAATTGGTCACGCGTCACGTAACGTAGGTCATCAAATGTTTGCATGGCCCTAACAAAACTTATTTGGTTTATCGCAACGCAATAAGTTACTAAATTTTCAGAGAACATAAGGTGCTATACTTTATCGATAAGGTACTATACTATTACCATAAGGTGCTATACTTTACCATAAGGTGCTACACTTCATCAATAAGCTACTATACTTTCCCATAAAGTGTTATACTTTATCAAAAGCTGGAAAATTGAGCGAGGACCCCTCGTCGAGGTGGATAATTGGACACACGAAACATAATATGGCCCAATAGGCTGTAGTTACCACAACCTACCATCAAAACTTCTTCAATTCAATCAGTGCATCAATTCATTGTAGATATTCATATCTATCAACCACTAGACTCAAGCACATAACATTGAATGAAAATAATCCATAAAGATTGAATGGAAATAATCCAAAATCACCACTATCGAAACGTTGTATACATTTCTACTAGATACACTGATAAATTTCTAATAGAAAATTTGATACATCACGATACATTGGATAGTGCATTTGATACAATATACACACAAATCATCTATATATACATAATATAGAAAATTCCATACAAAATGATACATTAGATACTACTTTGTACATCATATTGTAGACGTAGTTGATTTGCCGTTTGGGTTGCAATGTGACAACAATGCTAAGATCTGATCGAATGCCAAGAGTGGAGGATTCTCTCATGTATTTGATTGGAAAGTTAGTGTACGTGCATTGACGAATCGTTTCTGATTGAGGGGTAGCTATGCATTGCGTTAGGTGTTGGCGACAATAGAAAATGGTAAGAAGCAACCGGATGGTGTAAGATAGCATACTGATGGGCTAAGATCATTGTGGTCCACAAAACCAAACTTCTCTTGGACATTTCATCAACCACCTTTATTGCCTCCTCAACCAACAACAATATGGCATAACCGCTAATCGTTGTGGTCCAAATAACTATATCCCTTTTGTCATTCCATCAAACACCTTCTATGCATCAACCTAGTCACCAAAACATAGATATATATGAGCAAAATTATTATGCACATACTCTTTCCTAAAGCATAAGCTTGATAAGAATCCATCAATTTATAAGAACAATACATTTTTAACAAGATATTGCCAAAAAACCAAAATTTTAAAATGTTAACATACCGTTTTCTATTGGTCGGTTTTGAGTGGACTGGGTGGTCCTAGGGCCGCTGCCACCGCCCCCTTCAACGAAGGATCTAGCGAAGAGAAACCTGCAAGTTGACATTAGACACCATTGCAAGAGATCAAAACCCTTGAATTTTTAGGGTTTTTTTTAGTGGGAGGAGAACTAGAAAGATGGAGATGATTATAAAGAGAGAGTTGAGCTCGGGTAGTTATTAGGGACGAAGAAGAAGAAGAACAAGGGTAATTTCAGGATTTATCTTTTATTTTTTGTATACAGTATATAAATATGGTGTATTTGATACTTTGGGTTTATAAATAAGTGCGTGTTGTACTTTGGGTGTATGGATCATAATGAAAGTAGGTGGGTTTAAAAATAAGTCAGAGTAAAACTTTGGGTTAAAAGAAGATTTTCCCTAATTTTTATTCCCCACATAAAACTTATCAATATTTTGTTGGTCAAACCTACACGCACCAAAAGGTGCAATAAATGACAATAAAACAAAAAAGGAAAAAGAGTGGTTGTCAAGCCAACAACCTAAGAAAAATGAGTGGACGGTGCATCCTTTTGTTGAAAAAATGGAAAGCCAATTAAGAATTAATTGGCAAAAAGTGTAGAAGGGGGGCTTCTGCATCTATAAATAGAGCATCACAATATGTGCTTAAGGGTCTGTTTGTTTGCTCAAAAAAAAGAGGAAATGTGTTGCCACCTCACCTTTCAAGAAAACCCCCATGTGCCACATGGGTTTTTGTTTTCAAGACATTTCCATTTCACATGTTTGTTTCATTTTTAAATTTTGAGAAATGGACTGCCACATAGGATGCCACCTCAATATTTCAAAAAATGTGTTTTCACAACAAAATGGGCTGAAAACACTTGGAAATGTCTCATCTGAGAATTTTTAATTAGTAAAAAAACTGTTTGAATAGTTCAGAAGAATAAACCGTATTATTTAAATAAGAGGTTTCTCATTTTCTTTTTCTTTTTCTCAAACAAACACAAGA